CTCGAAGCCAACAAGTTCACTGAGAAGAAGCCTTTGGATACAGCTGCTTTAACAGACACAGACTACGAGGAGCCACCTCCTGCCCATTGTTTGAGCCTGGGGAGTTTAAATCGTGGTCTTTTTACAGAGTTGGTATTGCAGAGTTTATAACTTAAAAGACTTCATTTTTGTACTCACTAAAGCAGGATCTTCCAATCAGGCCTAAATTTAAAGCCTGAGGTAGCAAATTTGGTGGTTTCTGAATTATGTGGGTTTTTCTTTGGAAATGTTGGAAGCTGCAGTGGAGAGTAGAGAGTAATATACACAATGGAGGATTTTCTTCACACTGTTCACAGAATTTTTGAAAATGAACTGGTTCTAGCCCAAAGTGGCATGTGCTTCTACTGGACCCTTCATGGCTCCGCCCCTCTTACCGCGTACACTCTTTTTGAAAATTGTGTATAAAATGTCCTACATATTCGATACGAGCAACGAATAAAGCTAATGTTATTCAATATATTACAGAATGACTTACTGAACATCTTCTTAGTACTGGTAGGACTTGACGAGTTAATGATCGATATTTAATCAAACATGTTCTGATGTTCCCCTTTATTTGCATGTCACAATCTTTTATTTCTATCTGATTTTATTTCTTTTGGGCATATTCAGTAACAGTCATATTTCCTGGAACACACAGAATATTTAACAACGTTAACATTAATTTTTATTTACTGGTTTAGGAGATAACAGTAAAAAAGAGTTCAAAACTTTATTCTCTCTGCCATTTAATATGATGATGATTAACCAGAAATACTATTTTTTTAACTATTGACTCGTGTCAATTGTGTAGAAGATACTGGATATGATTAAGAGTAAGTTGGGCAATGCTCGAAAGTTAGTCAGAGTCGATTAAAGAAAATCATTATCAGATAGATTTTTAAGGGATATCTCCCCTTTGACTAGTCGGCAATTTTTCAAATTATTGAGAATCAGGAAATTGATCCAATTTTAACGATGCCATGGGAATATTATGCAATTGATAAAAATAAAATTAGAATGAGTGAGAATCACATTTTAATAAATGTTAATTGATAATTCTAATCATATTTTTTATTGTGATAAATGTTCGCTTAATCATTTTGCAAGCCATTTACACGTGATTGCTAGGAAATCATTGATCGAATACAATTCTTATTCTATAAGTATAACATATTCCTACCTAAAGTCTACATTTTGAAATCAATTTAAATCCAATTTCTAGCAATACATGATTCCCCACTTTACACACAAATCTGCGTAGGTTAAGTCATAATTACTTATATATATATACGACATGATGGTAGAGCTTTTGCACACAAATTCATATATACATATAGAGAGAGAGAGAGAGAGAGAG